CTTTAAAAAACTGGGATAATAATAGAGTTTTTTTTTTAAGATTTTATTTATTTATTTGTCAGAGAGAGAGAGCAGAGCAGCAAGCAGAGGGAGAAGCAGACTCCCTGCTGAGCAGAGAGCCCGATGCGGGACTCGATCCCAGGACCATGGAATCACGACCTGAGCTGAAGGCAGACACTTAACCAACTGAGCCACCCAGATGTCCCAGTAATAGAGTTCTTATGAGGATTAAGTGAAGTAACTTTTGTAAAGTGATTAGAAAAGTACCTGGCTTGTAGTAAGCACTATGTAGATGTCTATTAAATAGGCTTTGAGCAGAATAGGATTATTTGACTTATGTTTTAAGATGATGACTCTGGCTGCTATATTAAGAATCAGCTAGACATGGACAAGAGTGGAAGTTAAGAAATCCAAACGCTATCAAAATTATACAAAAGATGATGGTGGCTTGGACTAGGATGGTAACCTTGGAATTGGTGAGAAGGGGCTGGAGTCCTGATATAATTTGAAGATGTTGCTCACAGGATATATCAGTCGGTTGGATGTGGAATGTGAGATAAAAGTATTCAGGGTAACTGCACAAAGTTTCAGACTGAGTACCTGGAAGAATGGAGTTGACTTTTACTGAGGTATGGAAAATTGCAGGAGGAGCAGGTTATGAGGGAGAAATTAAGAGTTCTGGTATGGATATTTTAAGTTTGAAATGTCCACGGAATTTTCAGATGGAGAGCTTGAGTAGGCAATTGGATATATAAGTTGGAACTTGAGGGGAGAGCCTGGACTTGCTCTAAATTTGGGAGTTGTTATTATACAGATGGTATTTAAAGTCTTGAGCCTGGGTGAGATTACATAAGATTGATTGCAGGTAGAGAAGAGAAGAGGTCTGAGGACTGAAACCAGAACACTACAGGTGAGAGGCTGGGAAGACAAGAATCTAGATGTGTGTGGGGACCAAAAAGGAGAGTCCAGAGAAGTATGAGGAAAATCAAGAGAGATTGTGGTGACTTAAAGCCAAGTGAAGAAAGTGTTTGAAGAAGGAGGAAACAGTTCTCACATATTGTGGATAGGTATTAAAGATGAGGACTATTACATTGACTTGGCAATGTGGAGGTATTTGGTAACTAGAGTCGTCACTTTCCGTGGAGTGGTAGAGAGGAAGTCCTGTCTAGAGTAAAAAGAAAAAAAATATGGCAGAGGAGGAATTAGTCAGCCAGCAGGGACAACTCTTTCAAAAAGCTATGCTGAAAAGAGAGGTGGAAAATGGGACAGTGTGTGGAGAATTATAGACTCTGCTCTTACTAGGTGTGTGATCTTGAGCAAATTTGCTAATTTCCCCATGCCTCAGTTTCCTCATTTGCAAAATGGAGGAAATAACAGGATTATGTGAAGATTAAGTGGTTAATATATTTAAAACATTTAGAAGAGTGCTTGTCATTTAATGTATTAGTTATCTGTTGCTATATTACCACAGACTTAGAAGCTTAAAACAACATACATTTATTATTTCCTGGTTTCTGTGGATCAGGAGCCCTGGCATGGCTTAATTGGGTCTCCTGCTTCAGAGCCTTTCACAGGTTACAATCAAGATGTCAGCCAGGGCTGAATTCTCATCTGAAGTCGTGACCAGGGAAGATTGTTTCCAAGCATGTGTGGTTGGCAGAATTCAGTTCCTCAGGGTTATTGGACCCAGGGCCTAGGTTTCCTACCTGCCTGCTAACCGGAGCCTGTCCTTAGTTTCTTGCCACCTGGGCCTCCCCAACATGACAGCTTACTTCATCAAAGTGTGCAGACTGAAAAAACGAGAGAAGCAAGATAGAAGTCATCATCTTATGTAACCTAATCACAGAAGTAACATCCCATATGGAGAAAAAGGAACTCTCTTGTGCTGTTGGTGGTAATGCAAACCGGGCAGCCGCTTGGAAAACAGCATGGAGGTTCCTCAAAAAGTTAAAAATAGAACTACCTGATGAACCAGCAATCACACTGCTGGGTATTTACCCAAACAATGCAAAAACACTAATTCAGAGGGGTATATGCACCCCTATGTTTATAGTAGCGTTATTTATAATAACTAAGATGCAGAAGCAGCCCAAGTGCCCACTGATTGATGAATGGATAAAGAAGATGTGGTACACACATGCGCACGCACGGGCACGCACACAGTGGAATGTTATTCAGCCACAAAAAAGAATGAAGTCTTGCCATTTGCAACGACATGGATAGAGCTAGAGAGTGTTATGCTAAGTGAAATATGTCAGAGAAGGACGAATACCACACAATATGAGTCATATGTGGAATTTAAAAAACAAAACAAATGAGCACAGGTGGGGGAAGAGAGATAAACCAAGAAACAGACTCTTAACTATAGAGAACAAACTGATGGTTACCAGAAGGGAGGTGAATGGGGGGATGAGTGAAATAGGTGATGGAGATTAAGGAGTGCACTTGTGATGAGCACTGGGTAATGAAAATAAAAACTTAAAAAAAAGAGAAAGAAAATGGGTGCCTGGCTGGCTCAGTCGGTAGAGCAGTTGACTCTTGATCTCAGGGTTGTGAGTTCAAGCCCCATGTTGGGTGTGGAACCCACTTAAAAAAAAAGACCTGGACAAATTTTATAGCCAAAAAATATAAATAAATGAAAGAGTCCTAGCCAAAAGGGAAGGGGAGTAACATCCCATCACCTTTGCCATGTTGTATTGATGAGAAGCAAGTCACAGATCCCCTTCTCACTCAAGGAAAGGCGATTACACAAGGGTGTGAATATCAGGAGGTGAGAATCATTGGGGGCCATCTTAAGAGTGTTCTGCCACATGTAAGCACTCTAGTGTTAGCGGTCATCATCATGGTCATCATTCTGATGGGGGGATGACTAAGTAGAGAGGAGAGAGGAGAAAAATGGTAGAATTGAAGGAAAGATGTCCTTGATTAGACTACAGGGGAAGAAATTAAGTGCACAGTGGAGGGATTGACCATTGTTCAAAGAGGAAGTCAGAGTGAAAGGCCTTAGCTGTGGCTGCATGGTAGCTGTAGAGGTTCTCTTTTGATCCTTTCCCTAGTTTGAAGAGAAGTTAGGGTAGCACCACCGAAGAAGGGAGGGAGAGGTGCTGTTGGCTTGAGAAGTGAAGAGAACTTGTGACTCAGCTGTAGCGGGGGAATGGATTGACCAGGGAGATGGAGTTCAATTGCCAAGCATCTTGTGAAGGGCTTACTTGATGTTGGTAGCCATATATTTCAAGTGAGACTAGTTAGCATCACTGTGAATTTTTCTCCAGCTGCTCAGGTCCAGTGTGGAGAAGTAACAAAATGAAATCAAACTAATTAATTAAGTAGCAGTAGAGATGGGCTTTAATCGGGATTAAGGTTCTGCCAGGCCAGCATGATGAAGGAGGTAGGGGCAAGGGAATGATTGTGAAGACAGGACATACACAGCTAGGGAAAAGGGCAGAGATGTTAGAGTCAGTGATTTGAAGGGATGGAAAAAACTGTTGAAGTACTGAGGAGAGAGCCAGGAAGTTAGTGGTTAGTGTGATTGCTTGAAATACAAAATTATGGAAGGGAGAAAGTCTTAATGGGTCTATATATGTAAAGGACTCATTTGAACCAGTAACTTGGAATGTGATGAAGAAAAGACACCATCTTTCTCCTGTGGGCTTTATTAGGGAATATGACTAGTGTTCAGTAATTTTGGTGTAAAGAATGCATATGTAATTGAAGAAATACCATTAGAATTTTTTTTAAACCTTTTGTTTGTGAATTTTTACTATAGCTAAACAAAGCAATGCTACTTGATAATCAGGTGGTTCTTTTTGCAAATGAAATCTTGGTAAATAGAATGTTTTTTTTCTTTCCAGCTTTGGAAGCTCTCAGTTCTACACTCATGTTCATGTTATCATTCCAAGATTGCTGGGGGAAATAGTAGTGACACCTGACATTCATTGAGTACTTGCCTTATGTGAGGTATTATGCTTCATGCTTTATCTGTGGTATCTCATTCCTCACAATAGGCTAACCTTGAAGGTGTGTGCTGATTCCACAGTTCATACTGCCTCTTAGAAGAAATAGTAGTGATTCAGCATATATTCTCTTTTGGGAATTAAAACCCTTCTGATTGTATGTATCTAGTTACCCACACTGACTGGGTTTGAATCCTGGCTCCATCATTTACAAATTTATAATCTTGGCTAAATTATATAATCCCCGGGTATCCCAGATTCATAATTGGTAAAATGAGGGTAATTAACAGTACCTACCTCATAGAGACGTGAGGATTGAATGTGTAAATATATGGAAACTGCTTATAACAGTGTCAGGAAAGTAGTATTATATAAACGTTGGCTGTGATATTTAATCATTTATTTCAGCAGACCCTTTATCATTGGTCAGAGTTATCTTACAATAAAACTTAACTTTTGAAATCATCTTAAACTTGGTGGTATCTCTAAATAATATGTTAGAGTATTATACTCCTGAGAAAACTTTTCTGGTACCCTTTCTGATGTCTGAACTTTCATTGGACTTATTTGGGAACATAACACTTTGTTTTGTTAAGATATTTGACTCGTGTTAGTATTGTGTCACCAGCTTGATTGACTTTAAGCTCTTTGAAATTTATTTATTTATTTATTTTGTAAAGATTTTATTTATTTATTTGACAGAGAGAGACACAGCAAGAGAGGGAACACAAGCAGGGGGAGTGGGAGAGGGAGAAGCAGGCTTCCCGCTGAGCAGGGAGCCCGATGTGGGGCTCGATTCCAGGACCCTGAGATCATGACCTGAGCCGAAGGCAGATGCTCAACAACTAAGCCACCCAAGCGCCCCTAGTTCTTTGAAATTTAAAATGTTTTCTTGTATCCCTTATAGTGCAAAATGTATAATGGGAGCGTGATACTTAATGATTAGTTACTATAGGCAGAAAGTAAAATAGAAGCAGTATATGATTTTATGTTTAGGAAGTTAGCATCTAAAACATAGTCTTACTAGTGTTTTATTTATTTTTTTAGGTTCCTAAATATTTGTCACAGCAATGGGCTAAAGCCCCTGGAAGAGGTGAAGTTGGGAAGCTACGGATTGCCAAGTAAGTTATTTCTATATTTTTGACAAAAAGCTGTTTTTTGAACATTTTATAAGTGCTTTAAAATGTAATAACAATTCTTTTTCAGATAGAGAATGTACCTGGAAAATGAGAAGTAATGAGCAAATCAAGACTTGTCAAGAGATGGTTAGGTGCGCTCTAAGGAGTTATGTGTGCTCATGGGTATTTCTGCATACGCATATAGATACCTCTGCAGGCACACACACAGCCCCCTCTGTAGCGATAGGTGTAAATATAAAGTCAGATTTATTGGCAAAACTTACTGGCCATGAAGCAACAGAATATGTAGTTTCCTCATCCCTCCATTGTCTCCACATCTTCTGAGGCAGTATGCTGGGTTGGTTATGCATCCCATTAATTGCTTCGGTAGAAAGATTTTGCCATTGTGCCACCATGTCTATCTGTAGGGGGCATTGGAAAAGTGTAGGGAACACCTGGTAAGCAGTGTAATGGTGTAGTTTCCTGGTTGAAGAAATGGTCTTGTTAGAAAGGGAAGCCTCCAGAGCTCAGTTGGTATCAGCCAGAAGCCTTGCATTCCACTCTGTCCATTCATTCATTTTTTTGTTTTTGTTTTTTAAGATTTTATTTAATTATTTGACAGAGACACAGCAAGAGAGGGAACACAAGCAGGGGGAGTGGGAGAGGGAGAAGCAGGCTCCCCACTGAGCAGGGAGCCCGATGTGGGGCTCGATCCCAGGACCCTGGGATCATGACCTGAGCTGAAGGCAACGCGTAACGACTGAGCCACCCAGGTGCCTCCCCACTGGGCTCTCTTAATTTAAAATTAGTTAAAATGTATCTCTTATCGTTATGGATGTAATTTTTATATCTTCTGGCTGAGGACAGAGATCTTACACTCAGTACTTTGCTTATAGTAGATATGTAATACATTTTTTTAAATTAGGCTATTACATAGCGTGTAGAAATAAAGATAAGAATTATAATGAGATCATTACTTGGTTAAAATATTAGGCAGGTTGTAATAGTGTTAAGTGATACAAACTCATAATATCTACACATGGGATTAAAGTGACTTTTTTTTTACTATATGATTTATAAGTAGGTTGAGGAGAGCCAAGGGTAAATATTAGTTGATCTATGTAAATGTCTTATTTTATGTAAATACGATGTAGTGTTATTTCTTTTAGTTCTTAGTGTACATCTGAAGAAAACATGAAATCTAAATAAAAATTTTTCCTTTCTTTTGTAGGAATCAAGGAAGGACTGAGGTAAGATGAAAATTTTATTTAAAACATGAGATTATTTTACTGTGTATTAGTAATAGTAAAGAGAAGGCAGTGTTTGCGTTCTGGAAAACTCCACATCAAACTAGTGGCTGATGGTGAGGAGCACATAACAGCATAAATGCCACTTTTGTGTGAATGAATGGACTCCTTTTTAGTTGTTCATTCTTAGCATTTTTCAGCTTTGACCTAAACTATCCCCTCTCAGTACTGAGGCTTACTGTCGCTTCAGTAATACTTTAATATTATTTCAGTGTGGCAAAGGCATTTGGTCTGGATTTTTCAGGGCTTTAGGTTTTGACCCATTAAGTCCAGGACATAATTGTGGTACCTATCACATGGTAGAGAAATATTTAACAAATGCTTCATAATCTTTCCTATGTGGTTGGGAGGTTAGTATTTTATGTTTATAAATCTTTTGATGTAAAATGTGATGTTCCTTTAGGGAGATCTAGTATATAGTAAAAATCATTTTGAAAGAACAACTGCTAGTATGTGTTTTTATTCTAAACCTCAATGTTGCGTTATCTTTATAAATATTTAGTTGTGGGGCGCCTGGGTGGCTCAGTCGGTTAAGCGCTGCCTTCGGCTCAGGTCATGATCCCAGGGTCCTGGGATTGAGCCCTGCATCGGGCTCCCTGCTCCGCGGGAAGCCTGCTTCTCCCTCTTCCACTCCTCCTGCTTGTGTTCCCTCTCTCGCTGTGTGTCTCTCTGTCAAATAAATAAATAAAATCTTTAATAAATAAATATTTAGTTGTATTTGTTAAAATATTCAAAAATGAAACAGCACCATGTACTCCTACAGTAGTCATTAAAACCTAAAAAAAGAAATATATTTTCTGTTTATGGGAGTGTTTAAGCATTCTTAGTTAATAGCTCACTTTTTCCCCCTTTAAGTACAATTGCTTTCTTAATACTCTTAAAATACTCACTTATTCAGCAAATACTATTTTCCTTCTATGTGCCAGGCATTTTGCTGTATATTATATTTGTTATATATTGAAATATATATATTTAAGTATATGTATTCATAAGGATATAAATGTAACAAGACATGATCTCTTGAATTCACAGACCTTAGGGAAAAAAAATTATTTGTTTTGGAAATAGAATTTCTTCAGCCATAAACCAGAGAAAACATTTGAAAGCTGTCACCTATCTATAATGGTAGATTAGTCCCATTATTCTGACAAATGGGAATATGTTCTCTCTCTTTTTTTAAGATTTATTTATTTTATTTGGGGTCAGGAAGGGCAGAGAGAGTCTTAAGCAGACTCTTCGCTGAGTGCGGAGCCTGACGTGGGGCTTGATCTCACAACCCTGAGATCACGACCTGAGCCCAAACCAAGAGTTAGATGCTTAACTGACTCTACCCAGGCGCCCCAGATTCTCCTTTTATGACTAAGTATTAAGGATTTTTTTTAATAAGGTTTTAGATAAATGTTTAATAAAATGTCTAGAAACGAAGATTCACATATTTAAAGAAGTATTTGATTTAATCAGAATTTCTGTGAAAGATACTTTGAATACATAAGTCTGTTGTAATAAGCTCTTGTTAATGTGTCTGTTAGGTGTCATTTACTTTGAATGAGGATCTTGCAAATATTCACGATATTGGTGGAAAACCAGCTTCAGTCAGCACTCCTAGAGAACATCCATTTGTCTTACAAAGTGTTGGAGGACAGACATTAACAGTCTTTACTGAGAGCTCATCAGGTAAGTGGGAATAGAATTATTTAATATGATTCCCGTACCTGTTGTATAGATCTTCTGTCTCAACATATATTTTGAGGTCATTACCAAGGCTGCTCTACCTGTTGTTCTGTCTACCTCTATTCATAGCATGCTACTTATTTCTCTAAGTACTTTCCTGTGATTAATGAAATTTTGGCTGTTACTCGAAGGGTTTAGTTTCCATTTGGGGCATGAAGAAATAGAACAAAGCAGATGGAAGAGTGTGGTGCATCAAGCTGTCTTCTAGGATGTTGAAGAAATAGTATTGTGAGTTTTGCCAAGATAAGGTCATACTTGCCTGTTTTGGTAAATTGATATTCAGCAGTTATAAGTTGTGCTTAAAAAAAGAATACTGCTTAATATTAGGGAATATTTTAGTCTGAATTTTTGCTTTTGTTGGTTTTGATACTAAGAGGTCATTTTTAGTGCAGGGAGATGAACTGTTTGTAATGTATTTTGGTTTTGACTTCCAAGAAGCTCTGTGTTAAGTATAGTTTGTAAATTTTGTGTGTTTGCTCTCAGATATTTTACCAGTTCAATAAATCAGGAGCAGGTGTTTCAGTTTGTGAATTAAATACAGAGGAAGCTTTTTTGCAGTGTACATCTATGTTTATTTTCATTGTTATTTGATTTTTAACCTTACCTGAATTTAGAATATTACTATTAACGCAGCAGGGCTCCTCATTTTAATGGAGCTAATTTCTCATATCTAATTTAAAAAGCTTAGGGGCGCCTGGGTGGCTCAGTCGGTTAAGCGGCTGCATTTGGCTTGGGTCATGATCCCAGGGTCCTGTGATGGAGCCCCGTATTGGGCTCCTTGCTCAGCGGGGAGCCTGCTTCTCTCCTGCCTGCCATTCCCCCTGCTTGTGCTTACTCTGTCTCTCTCTCTCTTGTTCTCTCTGTGTCAAATAAATAAATAACCATAAAAAAAAATTTTTTTAAGTTTATTGGTTGTCTAAAGAAAATGATTTGTGATTTTGAATCTTCATTAAACATTTCAAAGAAAGCTGTAAGAAATAGTATGTTAAGAATGTTACTGTTTTAAAAAAAATAATATGTTCAGATAAATCTTTTGTGGTGTCTTAGATTACCAGTAGCTGTAAAAACTGATCTAAAAAATAAATCGGTTTCCCCCCACCCCCACCCCTTGGACATAGAATGTAACAAAATGGTAAATTATCGGGGCGCCTGGGTGGCTCAGTTGTTTGAACATCACACTTCTAATTTTGGCTCAGTTCATGATCTCAAGAGTTGTGAGATGGAGCCCCACATTGGTGGTGGTGGGGTTTCTCTCCCTCTGCCCCTTCCCCTGCTCTCTCTCTCTTTTTCTCTGTATAAAATAAATCTTTTAAAAAAACCAAAATCGTGGGGCGCCTGGGTGGCTCAGTCGTTAAGCATCTGCCTTCGGCTCAGGTCATGATCCCAGGGTCCTGGGATCAAGCCCCACATCGGGCTCCCTGCTCTGCGGGGAGCCTGCTTCTCCCTCTCCCATTCCCCCTGCTTGTGTTCCCTCTCTTGCTGTAGCTCTCCCTGTCAAATAAATAAAATCTTTGAAAAAATAAAATAAAAAACCAAAATCGTAAATTATAACTTTTCTATCATGTGGTTTAAGGTAACAGTTTTGTTTAATTGCATTATCCTGATGCTACAATAATTTGTAGTGTAGTATTATGGGAGGTAGAAAAATTTAAACACATGCATTTTCTCTTGGAGAGGATTCAACTATTCAACAAATATTTATTGTATGCCACATTATGCAGGGCATAGCATAGGTGTATCCAAGGACTCAAATTTGTCTTGTGATTGGTAATATTCAGTAAGACCTATTGAACCTGTGAGGTTTTCTCTACTTTTGTGGTTGTCCGTGGAGAAGAGGCATATGGCACCAAGACAGTAAACAGGAGGCAGAGCCTTGAACAAAGTTTGAACTACCTTTGCAGAGAAAGGTACCTTATTTCAGTTTTTTTACATTTTACTAAGTTGCTGATTTTTCCAACGCACGGTTTATTATACAAAAGACAGTGATTAGAAAGGTAAGGTTTCTTACCCTCAAAATTCATCTTCCATTTTTAATCTTATAAATCCTTTAGTTAGTATTGTGCTCTTTTTGAACATTTTGTGTTCACATTTCTGGTTACAGTGTACTCCAAAGTGAGTATGGTATTACAAGGATTATCTTGGCAGGGATGTGGAAGAGGCTCAAGATGGCCATTCTTTTTCTGGAGTTTGGACAATATGTTCTTTTTTGTAGAACTCTGGTAATACAAATGCAGATCTAAGTTGCTGTTAGATGCTGCACACTATAAAACTATGTTTGCTTCTTAATCTCTGTAATTTCTGTTTCATGTCATTGTTCCTTGGCTCTCCTTGCACCTTTCTGTGCTTTAATTTTCCTTATTTGTGAAATGTAATAATAATTATTTACATTTATGTATAAATAGTAATTTTTTAAAAACACTTAAGAACAGTACTCTACATAATAAATGCTCAGTAACTATTATTATTACTGTTATTGCAGATCTTATTTTTTAAGATATATAGATATATGGATATATGTACACATATGTGTGTGTGTGTGTGTGTGTATTTTTTTTAAGTAAGCTCCAGGCCCAATGTGGGGCTTGAACTCATGACCCCAAGATCAAGTGTTGCATGCTCTAGTGACTAAGCCAGCTAGGTGCCCCTATATTAGATCTTATCTTTAAACACTTTAGGTTTCAAGTTTATTAAGGCATGTGCATGCATTTTAGCTCATCTGTGTGGATATCATTTGATGAACTTCAGCCAGTAGAGATTTTTATGTTCGGTGTTTTTTGATTGCCTCGATGACCAAGAAGAAAGCTCTGTAGAGTTGTAATTAACAATTTATTTGCTTTTCAGAGGAGCATTATGTCATTTGCCATTTCTAATCTTTAAGGTCTCAGTTCCACAGCTGAGTTCTTTGAATCTCTAGGAAGTCATGAGTAGACAGCAGAGGCTCGGTGACTGCATGACATATTTAAAATGCTAGATATAGGGTTGCCTGGGTGGCTCAGTCTCTTGAGCATCCCACTCTTGATCTCAGCTCAGGTCCTGATCTTACAGTTGTGTGTTTGAGCCTCGTATTGGGCCCGCCACTGGGCATGGGGCCTACTTAAAAAAAAATGAAAAGATATATATGTATGCATATTCTTCTGTGGGACAGGACTGTAGCTTTCATTGGAGACTCAGAGGGGTCTGTGACCCAAAAAAGCTTCAGAGTCCACACTCTAGTATTACCTTGGATGTTTAGGAACTGGCCAAAGTATGAATAACTGAGCCATTTTACAGTGAGTAAAGCCATTTATTTTACAATGAAATATACATAAAGCAGGCATTATCTTAAATATTTTTATGTTTTCCCTCAAGCATAGAGCTGTACCAGCTTATAAAAAATTGCTTTTTTAGGCTCTTCATTTTTTTTTAATAGTCCATAGGTCTGTAAAATGTAGAATTTGTTAAGAAGAGTTAAAACCTCACTTGTTCAGTGTGTTGAGTTTAATTTTAATAACTTTATTCCTTCTATTAGTACATATTTTGCTGGTTTTTGAGAGGTCCCCTTGAACCAATTTTTCTAATGATTCAGTTCTACATATTAGAGTATCTTTGTGGGGATGGAATTAGAGGGACTGATGATATCTTTTACATTGTCTCCTTAATTAAAACAATCTGCATTTCATGAGTGTTTTATGAACACAATTTGTTTCTAGTTGAGTATTCCTATCTGAGGGAGCATGTTTTATTTTTAAGGACTATTTGGGGTTAGCCCTTTTTCTACTCCACATTTCTCTATGAAATTCTAAATCTATTTCCCTATTAAATATTTTTATTAGCTAGTATCCATATCTCTCTACCCTTGTCTAGGGAGAAATTCCTCATGTGTTTGGTCTTTATTTTTTTCCCCTTGGGTCTTTGGCTTAGTATTTTAATCTACCATTGGTAATTAAATAACTTCGATTTCTTTTATAATTTACACCCCTACCTTTGTTCAAACTTAGGTTTTCTTTATAATTGCAAATTCTAGACTAAAAGTTGTTCATTCATCTGTTTAACAGATGTTTTTAATGCTAGGTCCTGTGTTAGAATAAGACTAGACTTGGAGTGCCTGGGTGGCTTAGTTGGTTGAGCGTCGGCCTCTGGCTCAGGTCATGGTCCCGGGTCCTGGGATCAAGCCTGTCAGGCTCCCTGCTCAGTGGGAAGTCTGCTTCTTGCTCTGCCCCTTGCCTTGCTTGTGCTGTCTCTCATTCTCTCTCTCTCAAATAAATAAATAAAAATCTTTAATAAAAAAATAAGACTAGACTTCTATTCAGCTGGGCAACTGGTATGTGGAAAAACTACTCACTACAGAAAGTGTTCTAATGGAGCTATGTATAAAGAAGAAAAAAGAGTACTTTAATTGCAAGAACTGGGAAAGACTTCAAAAGTGGAGATAATATTTGAGCTGGACCTTGAAGTAAGCGTGCCTTGAATAGGAGGAAAGAAAGTAAAGATAAAATACATTTTTCTTTCCTTCAGATATCCTGTTCTTCACTTTGCTTTCTCCTACCTGTCATGCTTGGTCATAATCTATCTAAAATCCATTAAATAGTCCTGGTTACATCAAAGCAAAATAGCTCAGTTGCGTACTTGATAGTCTAGAGATGAAAAAGTTTGATTTGGTGCAGTGGGAGTGGAAAAGAGAATCCGGTTCTAGAGATAGTAGACAGTTTTTGGTGATGAATTAATTGGGAGAATTGGGTGAGTGGGAAGTTCAGAATGGTTTCCAGGCTTTTTGGGCTTGAGCATCTTGATAAGTGATGAGACCATTACTGAGTTAGACAATATTGGAGGAGATGGGCAGGGTTAGAGCTGAAAGAACCACGGTGGTGTTTTTGCTCTAAGTTTTCATTATCTTTGACCCCTCTGCAGCAGTTCGTTAATTCAACAAACTGATATTTGTAGCTACTGTTTGCAGGACCTCTTTT